AGAGAATTTAAATGATATCTTTACGAGTTTAATCAATGCATTACATAAACAAGCGAGTTCCAGTCTACTGTTGACTAGAACTGTTCCAGCAGTTGTTGTAACCGGTACTCTGGTGCCCTGGTGCGTGGATAAGGAATGTGTTAAGGCTAACATGTATACACAAGACGTTGATAACCTTAATCTGGGGAGTTTAGGCCAAATGCAGGATGTTTTCAACCATTCGAAACTATCTTGGCCATTTTCGTAAGACGAATATATGCGTCAGATGAATGTCGAAAATGATGAAAAGCATGCATACCCTACCCTATTGAAAAGAAAATGCAGCATTTCTTTTCACAATGGATGTTTTATAGGCAAATCAGATGGTAAATCGTACAGATTTTAATATTTTGGTGAATACATTATCTGTGTAGTAGTATTATTCATTGTGAATGTCTGAAACTGTTCAAACATATACACAAGCAATAAATAAAGAAAGTCATCCTGAAGATTTCGTCCTAGTACTAAGTACTTCATCAGCGGACTGATTAACTCTCTACTGACCGTTAACAGCACCAGAGAAAAGCTTCAGGTTAGCTTGCTCTGCTTAGTGCGTATGAGATTTAAAAGCTTAAACATTGTTAAAGATGAACTGTTTTATATTTTGTCTTCATGATAACACGTATTCATACAAACGTGCGTTATTTTTGGAACATTTTACTACAATTACGTACGAGTTCTGATAATAATCGTACGAGTATAAATTGTTTACTACATGTATGTCCAACGTCATCGACATCAAACTTATTCTACATTGTCAACCGTGGGACGGGGAGTGGGGGACTGGGTAAGATAGAAAGTATCGCAGGCATTACACAATGAAAACAGATCAGTTATGAAACCACGTGGAGTGGACGTTAAAAGGATAATGAAGTCTATAACAATGAACGTACAAACGCGTGACTATACGTGAATTATTCTTGAAATGTAGTATGCATCGTTATGAGTTGTGTCTATGCTTCTGTGTGAAACGGCTTCTTGATAACACCTGTGTGAGTTGAAAAACGTAAAAAAAACTCAACTTTAATGCATCTTGTATTGCTGACATGGTTTCTAAATATACATGTTATTTTTTTATTTATTCAAATAATTGATTCATTCTGACAAGCAATCATAATCATGGGCAAGAATCATGATGAAAGAAAAGTTATGCTTTAGAACTTATTTTGCATGCTGAAATATTATATATCAATACAACATTGATTAAAAATAACTATGTGCGAGAGATTTAATAGAATCACTTCATTCCTTTATTGGTGTAAAGCGCTACAATTGCCTTTAATTTAAATGAAAAATACTTTCTGTCTTAATATACGCCTATGTAATGAAACAAAATACATTTGACATTGGAAAGTCACATTTTTTTTTTGCTGGACGTAAAGAAACCATATTATTGGATCAGAAAATATTCACATGTATAACCATAGGATACAAATGATTTGTTTCCTGAAAAACTTTGCTTAATTTACTGCGGTTCATTTTGTATTTTAATAACACGCAATAGTACACAACTTGCGTGTTTTCAATAAAGTAATAACATGTAATTATATCCTGGGCTATTTGCTTATTTTCAATAATAACATGCAATTAGACAGTTCACGATGTTTTCTTGTCAGTAAAGTAATCATATGTAATTTTATACTACACGATTTGCTTTTTTTCATTAAGGTAATAGCATGTAGTTAAGACAGTAAACGATTTGATTATTTTCAATGAGGTAACAACGTGCAATATGACTACACTACTTGCTTATTTTCAATAAGGTAATACCAAGAACTTAAACAATACACGATTTGCTTATTTTCAATAAGGCAATAACATGTAATGAAACAATACACGATTTATTTTTTCAGTAAGGTAATAACATGCAATTAAGCAATACACGTTTTGCTTATTTTCAATAAGGTAATAATATGCAGTTAGACAAACTTGCAAGTGAGACAATTTCACATGTTTTCAACTTTTTTTAAAAGGTATGAAGTATGAATTCAAGGTTTGTATTTAGAAGAGCGGTGCTTTTGTGGTCAGTATATAGAATCTACAACAATCTACAACAATGTGATGTGGAATTTTAATCGTTGTCATTGCAAAACTGCTTCCGATTTATCATCCCAACATTGTTTGTACATCTGTATTCATCAAACCTCATATCAGTGAGTCTCTATCTATCAGTCTCGTTTTTTTTTTTTCATTCTTTCCAAACTAAATGGTTGTTTGGAACAACCCAGGTGATGAGTATCCTTAAATAGCGCTCTTGTTTGGGTTGTTTTCGGATCAAAAGAGACAGACGGATCCCAGGCATACTTGCTTTTATCCACGGAAATTGCATTGATAATGTTTCTTTAACAAAATTGATTGAAGTTGCATGACTTAAATGAGGCACATCTCACTGTGTATCGTTGAATAAAATCTGCATTTCACAGGATTTCATTTCCGCCAGACCGCAGATCCCGGAAAGTCTGAAAGGTCTACACAAGTTGGAGGCCAATTTGTTGAAATATCAGTGAACAGTGACAATAAACTTCGACATAACGATCATTAGGGCGAATGAAAACAAGCAACACAGGACAACTTCACTATAATTGGGATCGATCGGACAAACTCTTCTGTGAAAACAATTAGTTCGAAATTGTTCGATGGATCAGAGTCACAGGAACGACTAGAATACTTGAAAAGCGCTACGATCTTCCCCTGCTCTAAATATTTGAAAGATACAATTGTGTAGAGAGGGGTCAATGTCTTTTCTGATTGCCACTTAGCACAGCCTGTTTCACTAACTTCCCACATAAACCCATTCTTGTAATATAGCATTTTGTCTAAATACCCACATCTCATTTTGAATAGTCATGTGACGTGTTACTGATACAATATTTAAAAACAGTTTGGAAGCCTTCATTAAATAATAACATATCACTCTTTGAAGTTACAAAATTACATTTTAATGCTTGTTTTGGCTTTTTGGAGTTTAATGCCATTTTTTCTGCGAGCACATCATAGTCTATATACTTGGCGGAAATTATATTTCGTGGAAGAAGGCCTGGGAAGAACCAGAGACCGACGGGAATCTACTTGAAGTATTATGATATACCACTCTGGTCGAGCCCGAGACTCAAACCCGCTGAGAGAGAAATTAGTTGTGAGTGCCGTAAACCACTTGTCCACCCAAATCAAGCATTCATTACAAAAAGAAGGGAATTATCATTCAACAATCTCACTAGTACCTCGTACAGTGTTTCATCCTTAGCGCAAAATTCCTTTTGAAGTAATTTTTTGGACAGTTGTTTCAAAATGCCGCTATTGTTGTGCACACAGCAAAGGTATCTTTGACTGACGTTAACTGACCATTAGATTAATATGTTCTCTTTTACTTTTAATATCGTTGACTCAGTGATTGATGATGAACAATGTTACTGGTTTTATATCCGTTACATTCCTAATATCTTGTGTGGAGGAAGCTATTCTGCGTTGTTAGAACAATATCAAACAGGCCTTTATTGTTTTTGTTTTATTTTCATTATTCCTCAAACGCACATACTATTTGAAATACAACGATAATCACTGCTTCTGATTTTGTGACGGGTAACATCGTCATTTTGTCTGATAAAAAAGTGCATCATGCTATATATCTGAAAAAAAATATAGCTTTTGACAACATCATAATTAGCTGTAAAATATGGAGTAAGCCGAGACCCAAAACAAGCACGTGACCATGCCCAATGACATCACAGTAATAATTGCCATACAACTAGAGGTGACATTTCTTTGAGTAGTTTGATTTCATTAGAGCCTTAACAGAGTGGAACAGTAAGAAAGAGTGACAGATATATAAGTGACACACACAAACACACACACACACTCACTTAGAATTTGAGCTACGAATATTTAATCGGAAAAAGAAAAAGATAGAAATAGTAAAGACACAAATAGAAACGATTGCTTGATAAAAATAATATTTTTGTATAAATACCAATAAATAGCACTATAGTACAGAATAAACAATTTAAAGTCGTGCTCTACGGAGATTAGAAAAACGGTTAGCGGATCAATGGAACCCTTTGATAGTCTATAATGATTTCCGTCTTATGAACCCTGAATGACTTTACAGATAATTCATTACTAGGTCGATATATGAGTGCATATGCTACCCAGGGATGCGTCTACCATCGACACTGTAACGTCAGTTTTCTGATGTGTGCATGGTCCAGATCATATATCAGTAAGTACTTACAGTGTGTGTGTGTTTGTTATCCCAATTGCATTTTGCAACGTATTCATCATTTTTTCCTGTCCCTTGATGAGCGAAAGATAAAGCGACTCTCTCTCTCTCTCTCTCTCTCTCTCTCTCTCTCTCTCTCTCTCTCTCTCTCTCTCTCTCTCTCTCTCTCTCTCTCTCTCTCTCTCTCTCTCTCTCTCTCTCTCTCTCTCTCTCTCTCTGACTGTCGGCTCCAGTGCCCTATTGGTTAGAACATCAGATACAGGGATGCGGAAAGTCGCGGGTTAGAATCCCGGTCGAGCCATTCCAATTACTTAAAAAATTGTTACTTGCAGCTGCCTCGCTTGGCGCAAAGCATTAAGTGGTTAGTGTTAGGAAAGGTCGTCCTGATGTCAGGATAATATGTGAGTGAGTGGAACATCCTGCTACATGTCTGTGGCATAATAACCCAGTGCTAGACGTCACTATAAATTGCCACACTGCTGACATCGTAGCGATATAACTGAAAAGCTACGTTAAAAATCATTACCACATCACCTCATATCTCTCTCACACTCACTCTTTCCTCTTTCTCTCCACTCGCACACACACACACACACACATACACATACAAACACACACACACTCTCTCTCTCTATCTATCTATCTCTCTCTCTCTCTCTCTCTCTCTCTCTCTCTCTCTCTCTCTCTCTCTCTCTCTCTCTCTCTCTCTCTCTCTCTCTCTCTCTCTCTCTCTCTCTCTCTCACTGACCGCTCCGGTGGCCTAGTGGTTAGAACGTCTGCCTCGGATGCGGAAGTGTCGTGGGTCCGATCCCCGGTCGAGTCATACCAAAGACTTACAGAAATGGTACTAACAGCTGCCTCGCTTGACACTCAGCATTAAGAGGTTAGTGTTAGAACTGATTGGTCTGGTGTCAAGATAATGTGACTGGGTGGGACATCATGCTACATGTCTGCGGCATAATGCCCCAGTGCTAGAAATCATTATAAACTGCCACACTGCAGACATCGTAGCGATATTACTGAAAAATTGTTAAAGCTACGTTAAAATTCATAAACACCAAACCCCGACACACTCTCTCTCTCTCTCTCTCTCTCTCTCTCTCTCTCTCTCTCTCTCTCTCTCTCTCTCTCTCTCTCTCTCTCTCTCTCTCTCTCTCTCTCTCTCTCTCTCTCTCTCTCTCTCTCTCTCACATACTATCTTTTCACACTGACTATCTCTCTCACACTGACTCTCTCTCACACATATTCTCACACACTCACACATTCTCTCACGCTATATCTCTCTCTCTCTCTCTCACACACACACACACACAAACACTTTCTCTTTCTATCTTTCACACTGACTCTATCTCTCTCATTCTCTCTCACACACCGATCCTCTCTCTCGTACTCTCTTACACATATACTCACTCTCTCTCTCACAAACACACACACACACACACACACACACAAACCCTCTCTCATCGTAGGAAGATACAGGCAAAAATCTATGAAATAATTGGCGTAGACGATAATCGTTTGTGTCATCCCACGGTGTCTCTGTGCCTATGAATAATGGTGAAAGAAGAGAGAAACCGACCAAAGGGAGAGAGAGAAACCGACCAAAGGGAGAGGGAGAGAGAGAGAGAGAGAGAGAGAGAGAGAGAGAGAGAGAGAGAGAGAGAGAGAGAGAGAGAGAGAGAGATTGTTATAGAAATGTTGTCATTGACCCACATAGCCTTTAAATAGTGAAGATATTTTTTTCTTACATTTATTGTATTTCTACAGTATGTGATAACGAAAATGGTCATATGTTATTGTTGTTATGGGATATGCCTCTAGTTTTCAGTGTCATCCAAAGAATGCGAAAGAGAAATCAATGAATGGAAATTTTTTTCGGTCAAATCAGACTTTTTATGAAATTCTGACAGGGTATAAATAGAAATTATCTTGTTCTAGTTGGTACTTGCTGTGCCAGCTCCATTATTTCCTTTTTACTTTCCTTATCATTTCATTAAATTTTGTTATTAACAGAAATCTGCAACTGTTCCAGCTACTATTTTTAAGTGGTGTGGTGCTCTATACTGTTTTATATTCCTTTATTCATAACAAAATCTCAACCATCCATCACACTATTCACCGTCTGATTGATTAACTGTAAATATTGTTTAAAATGTCTTGAGTAGTATTGGACATTGTGTTGAATAGTACTGAACAATATGTTGAATAGTATTGGACAATGTGTTGAATAGTACTGGACAATGTGTTGAATTGTACTGGAAACTGTTGAATAGTATTAGAAATGTGTTGAATAGTATTGGACAATGTTGAATAGTAATGGACAATGTGCTGAAAAGTACTGGACAATGTGTTGAATAGTATTGGACAATGTTGAATAGTGCAGGAGAATGTGTTGAAAAGTACTGGACAATAGGTTGAAAAGTACTGGACAATTAGTTGAAAAGTACTGGACAATGTGTTGAATAGTACTGGATAATGTGTTGAAAAGTATTGGACAATGTGTTGAATAGTATTGGACAATGTGTTGAATAGTATCGGACAATGTGTTAAATAGTATTGGACAGTGTTGAATGGTATTGGGCAATGCGTTTAATAGTGTTGGAAAATGTGTTGAATAATACTGGATAATGTTTTTGAGTAGTACTTGACAATGTGTTGAATTGTATGTAATAACATCAACAATCTTTTTCAGTTTCCTTTAATTCTTTTTGTTAGTTTTGATATTTTGTTAACTCCTTCATTACCATTCTGTTCAATAGTTGACATATTATTCTCAGCATATTTCAAAATATTATTCTTAAACATTTTGCGTCTCTGAGAATCGACACTGCTTAAACATATCAACTAGTAACTACATCCCCCCCCAAAAAAAAAAATTACCAGTATCTTGTAAATCAGTAATAGCAGTTATTGATGATTCTTAAGTCACCGTTAATTATTTGACCTTTTTGAACTTTATCAACTCTCGGATGCTGCATCTAAATCCAGTGTTTTTTAAACTAATACTCACGGAAAAGCCAATTCATCAGGATCTATCAGAAATATTGCAATTTATTTAACCGATATAGAGGTAAATCCCCCACACGTCATAGCACTTTGGTTTTCATTATATAGAAGATGATCGACCACTGTTTTATTGCCAGGATAGAAAAAATAATACAAAATAACATGTGAAATTAATTGATCTGAGCAAAGATATAAAATACAACGACACAAGCCCACGTATGTAATATATAACAATTTAATAAATTTCATAAACAAAATTAAGCTGAACTTAAAATTTGAATGATACGCTTTCTTTTAGAAATATAATTGCAAAATTTATATTAGATTCAATCAGCCGTTAATTTGCTAGATAAAACACATTTCATCATAGAATCAAGTGACTGAACGAACTCAAATTGTCGGCATGCTTGTATAACCTGGTTTCTTCCGGTCTTTTCCAAAACACTGTCGGTGACTGGTCACCGTTGCCGTATTTTTTTCTTTATCTCTTTCTCCAAACTCATCAGTCATCAACTGTAATTTGACGTAGTCTTCATTTTTTACCACTGTGTAGCACAGGTATGGAGCTATTTTTCCTTCAAAGTCATTCGTATTTGGGAGAAATAAAAAACGAAATGGCAGAATTTCTCGGTGATTTCTTGTCCTTATATCAAAATTGATGACTAAATGAAGACCATGAAGATTAAGACAATGAAGAACATGAAGATGAAGATCTACAACATATACATATCAATAGATCAAAGTAAAGTAAACTAATCTAACCCACACGGACAATTCACACAATAATAAGGCGCAAGATTTTTATAAAAACTATCACAATGTTTGTAATGTAGAAGATCCTTGGTGATTTATAATTTGGCTCTTTATGTTGAATAATTCAGAAGTCTTTAATCATACTTTATTTATGCCAGGTATTATAAAAAATACATGAGAATTTGTAAGCAAAACAATAGAATATAGTTTAATGAATTGTCTCAACCAATTTTCAAAAGAAACACAAAACTACTTGATGATGACATAACATAAAGGGAACAAAACGGATATTGCCCATGTCGACTGTCATAATATGTGATAATTCACTTAGTCAATATTAATTGCCGTCAAGTGGATTGATATTCGGACTACAAAGCATTTCAGTTACCAGATAATGTGATATATTGATGTTCTGTTTCACTCAGGAAAAACTTACGTGATTGTAATTAAATAGTGTGTTCATTCATTTCCTTCAACTGCATTCAAATTCGACATTGCACCTTTTTGAAGAAAAAAGGATTTCTTTTACAACAAAAATTTAAAAAGTCAAAGGGCCTCTGCAATAACAAATGAATTCCCAAGTATCACTTCAGGAGAATGAACTTGTCTAAGCCAATTACTTTGCAGTTATGCGCTCCTAATATTATAAAATTCTTGTTTTGTTACTAAACATTAAAAGAATCTTGATATGTGAGTGAAATAAAGAAAGACGGAGTTAACAACTCTTGCAGACCACATCTGAATTACAATTTTGTTCAGATGATTTAAGATGTTAAGAATAAAAAATACACACGGTGTCTGACTGTATGAAGCTCTGAAATTCCACCATATGGGAAGTAAATGCTTCCGAGTGCAATTTCATCTGAAATGGGCAGACACGGGACACGAGCCCTTGAAAGCGACTTATAAATAAACGAATCTATGCACACACGTGTCTTCAGAGTATATTTAAATGAAGATTAGCACAGTGATAGTGAAATAAACCTTGGGTATGTGGTATTTTAATTTAATTCTCAGTTTAAAGGTTTGTTAGATGTTTATGTGATTATTTGTTATTCGGTGTTGGGAAGGCATATTAGCCGATTTCTATGAGCAGACATCAAACTGTACAGCCTTCACAAGAGTGGCATGAAAGAGTTACGTAATAAGGTCCCATCACAAATTTCTTAACACATTGAATTTTCTGAAAATCTGAGTTAATTCCTGGTAAATGTTTGGGTCGTATATTGCATTTCGTGGCGTGAAGTAGTAATATTCGGCTTTCAAATGCTTTAATAATCAATCATACAAAAGTGAAACCATGAAAATCATGGAAGTGTGCAATTCGTTCTTCGCGAAGTATGGTCATTGGGTAATTAGATTTTTAATTATTTGCAGCGTTCGCACGTTCAAGCCATCTCTGCTAACAACGACTGTTTGCTTAAGTTTCTTTTAAAAAAAATAGAGAAAATAAGGGTCCTAAATGCCAAACATACATAGGTGTCTGATTCCGATTCGCTCGGTAGTTAGACACTTACTTGTAACGATATAGTTATATTTCGTAAAACAAAAATATTACGAATGAATTAAATATCTTGGAGTTCGACATCTAAGTGATGCAACCACTACAAAATAAATGGGAATTAGTGAGTCCAAGTGATACATAAAATTGAGTAGAAAATTCGATGATGCCAATCGGAATACTAAATTGCCAATAGATAGTAAACGGCAGTGTTGATGACGATACAGTTACAGTATCATCAGCTAAATCTGTCTATGTGAACTTTTATCTGATATATTTAGGAAATAAACTTTGAACCAATTTCAGAGAAACATTATAGTCATTATAAAGACTAAATTGAATGTATCGATAGTGACTAGTCTACCTTGTTATTGTATTGATGCTTGAAATTATTACAATAGACTTTTGTTTGCTTAATAGTCTTGAGACCTTTACTGGAGTCCAGTAAAACCACAACTGCCAAAACGGCGGATGTCACCCCTATTTATAGGTTTTGGTAACACTCGGGAAACTTAAAAACACAGTTTAAGGAATATGACTAAATATGGAAGACTTCGGAAAGA